TTGAGGTGAAACTGTTTCATGAATTGCATCACATCCCCTTTGATTGACTGCCAACACTATTTTAGTTCGGTTTGTTTGCCACCCAAATTGTAAACCATATAAAATACCAATTTCTTTCTTTTCTAAAAAGAATTTCTTTTATTTCTCTTACTTTGAATTTACAATTTGAGTAAATTACTACCCTACACTTCTATGAAAATCTCACTTTGGTTCATTCACTTTTAATTGTAATAATCAACCCTTTACACTTTAAGTCAAGTTGCAATATCACTTTTTCATCTATTTATTTTCAATAATGCTAACAAAAATTAAAAGTGGAGGGGTAAAAGTGAAATTTTGATAAATTGTTAGGACTAAAGTGAGATTTTAGTACAAATATGAAGGTGCTAATGTGACAAAAAAATGTCACATATACTTCATATGACAATTTTCCACCTTACTAAAGACAAATGGATAGAAAAGTGACATTGCAATTTGATTCAAAGAATAGGAATTAATTGTTTCAATTGAAAGTAAAAAATCAAAGTAAAATTTTAGTGAGAGTGTAATTAACCCTTACAATTTTGTTTGTTGATTGTGTTTGCTATTGGAATTTATGTTAATTTAATTTGTTCAATTATAGAACATAGTATATAATTATATTATTTATTTATACATACTACTAATTAGGTTTTTGATAATATTTATCTTCTTATAAACAACTGCCTTGAGGTCTTTGTAGAATGGCCTCAATTAATATAATAATATATTTATTTGTTGGAGAGGAGTTTGACATGCTATAGATTTATATATATATATATAATTTAAGGTACCCCATCCAACTAATCAAATTGGACCTGAATTACCTCGGATTTGGACAGTTAGAAATTATTCTCTTTTTTTTCTTTTTTTCTTTTTTATTTTTACGCAAAGAAAGAATCTTTATTAATGTAAGAGCAAAGTACAATGTACATAAACAACAAACATCAAAAAAGAAAGGGGAGTGCAAAGGTATCACGATAAGCTAAATCATCCCAACTATGTTGGCACTAAGAAAGTCATCCTATCATTTACTAGCACCTCCAAAGTTGTTGAGCAACCAACCAAGAGACAGGAGAACAAACAAGGAAACAACAGAGCAACCAGACAATAGAAGAGCAAAATTAACACAGAAGACCACCAGTAATACAGCCACAGCCAACAAACCAGATCTGGAGGTAGAAAGCAGGACAACAGAATAGAACAAACAAATAGCAGCAGCCAGAGAGACATCATCATACAGCATACACCAGCAGATATACACCCTACAGCAGCATACACCAGCAGCAATCTAGCATCATACAACTCAAACAACATCATACACCAGCAACAATATGCACCCTACAATAGCATACACCAGCAGCAATCTAACAGCAATTCCACCTCTCACAGCAGCACTACTCTGCACCAGCAGCTGCCAAACAATGTACCTCCAATCTGCAACAGCAGCTAAATTGATTCTCAACTATACCCAGTAGCATAACTTCACCAATTTAGACAATCACCCACACACCCCGAGTCAAGCAACAGAAACTGAAGCAAAATGGCAACAGAGTAAACCAGACAGAATCTGAAGCAAAGCAGTAACAATTCTACTACAAAGCCCTACCGGACACACTACAAACAGCTTCTAACTTGATGGATATTAAACACAAACTCGTTCACTGTGTACCCTTGTCCAATTGAGTGAGTTTTTAGTCAAAGAGCCACTCAAACTTTAATAAGCACACGCAGATCTTCATAGGTATGCGGCAATCCATTGAAAAGATAATCATTCCTGCATTTCCAGAGGAACCATAAACCAGCAATTAGGATTGATCTCCAAACTTGTTTTTCCTTTTTTCTAACCTTCTAGCCCAGCCACCAGTGCATTAGCATGACTATTGAGTTAGGGAAAACCCAATGCAAACCCCACCACTTAATTAGGTTGGACCAAACTTTCCAAGTAAAAAAGCACGGCAACAGCATGTGATTAAGTGTTCTAATCTCAGCTTGACAAAACACACAGTCAGAGCTAACTGTTATACTGAGGATGCTAATTCTATATAAGTATTCAGAGGACTTTATCCTCCATTTCCAAGCCATCCAGGAGAAAAATTGGGCTTTAGGAGGGGAGGGATTATGCCAAATCAAATCAGGAATTACCAAAGAAAGACTAAACAAAGATTCACACCATTTAACAGCACTTTTGACGCTAAAAATACCTGAAAGATCAAATTTTCACCAGAACAAATCAATTGAATCCGACCTCAATGCAGGGTCCTCACCTAAGACAACCCTTAACCTCTGCAATTCATCTTTTTCCCATGCCAATAAGGGCCTTCTGAAGCTAAGTTTCCAATTGTTTTGATGACTAGCCCTAGACAACTACAAGTGCAAGGTGATGCCTCTATCCTCTGATAAGTAATAGAGTCTAGGAAATTGGGACTTCAAGCACATGGTTCTCAACCAATTATCAACCCATAAACTAATTCTTTCACCATTACCAATCTTGATTTCAACATTCTCCAAATAATAATTGAACAAACTGCTATTAGAATCACTAACAAGAATAATGTCACTCCATACCCGTGAGATATTATTGGCCTCCACATGAAATGGAAACCATCTACCTCCTTCTGACTGATACTTGCTACAGATGACTTGTTTCCATAGTGAACTGTTTTCTTTCCCAAACCTCCACCACCATGTAGCAAGAAGGATGTTATTCAATATACTTAAGTTTCGTATTCCCAGCCCACCTTGCTTCTTATCCATGGTTAAATCCTTCCATTTTACTAAGTGAACTTTCCTCCTCACATCTGAATCACCCCACAGAAAGGCTGCTTGTATCTAGTCCAGGTCTTTTGCCACACTTCTAGGAAGCCTAAATAGAGACATATAGTAAACGGGCAGAGAAAAGAGAACATATTTGATTAATGTTACTGTTCCAGCAAAAGACAATAGCCTCCTCTTCCAATCTAACAATTTCTTCTTAAAGTTGACCACCACAAGCTTCCATGTTGCCCTCCTAGATGGGTTGGCTCCTAAAGGCAATCCAAGATACTTCAAGTTAGAAATTATTCTTTGGTGGCTATAAAGTTAACAACTGAACAAACTTGTAATGATACTTGTTACAAAGCTTTTTCAAGTGAGTTGCATGTAGCATTTTTATATCCGAAATATCCAAAATATTAATTTTAAGGTCTCAGAATTAGTCAAGCTGTTGTTTGATATGTACCTCACTCTGCTATTGCTTTAATATTTTTACTAAACCAATGATAATAGGCTCAAAACCAAACCTGATAAAGATGATAAGTAAATTATTATTGATATTCTCTTGATAGCATCACACTCATTTAACACTACAACAAGAAAGATTAATGATTAAAAATATTTTGCTTTTAAACAAATTTTTTCCCCTTGTACAATATACTATTTTTTTTTATTTATTGGTAAAAGTCAATTATTAGTTGTTAAATTAACATCTATGGGAGTTAACCTCCCTACTCTTGCAAAGCATCAAGTACTTGCCTCCTAATTCAACTCTCCATCATGACCTCTCCCTTAAGACTAAGTCCTTAGGACAGTTATGATGGTCAATTAGGCTAAGCCTAGTTGGTTCTTGTGCAATGCACTGTCAACCTTTAAATCATGAGAAAATTATAAGACATGTAAATCTTGAACTATAATTTAATAATTACAAATATATTGAGAAAACGATATAAAAAAAAAAAAAAAAAAATGAAGATAGAGAATACCACACCTAAAAGAATGGTAGCTTGAGCACTAATTTAATAGAGTCTTAATGATTGTCCACCGAGTGTTGGTTAAAAGATCAAATAATGTCAATTTAACACTACAACAAGAAAGATTAATGATTAAAAATATTTTGCTTTTAAACAAATTTTTTCCCCGTGTACAATATACTATTTTTTTTTATTTATTGGTAAAAGTCAATTATTAGTTGTTAAATTAACATCTATGGGAGTTAACCTCCCTATTCTTGCAAAGCATCAAGTACTTGCCTCCTAATTCAACTCTCCATCATGACCTCTCCCTTAAGACTAAGCCCTTAGGATAGTTATGATGGTCAATTAGGCTAAGCCTAGTTGGTTCTTGTACAATGCACTGTCAACCTTTAAATCATGAGAAAATTATAAGACGTGTAAATCTTGAACCATAATTTAATAATTACAAATATATTGAGACAACGATATAAAAAGAAAAAATGAAGATAGAGAATACCACACCTAAAAGAATGGTAGCTTGAGCACTAATTTAATAGAGTCTTAATGATTGTCCACCGAGTGTTGGTTAAAAGATCAAATAATGTCAAAAGATTCAGTATTTAATACACATTTCACATATACAATTTATTTTTTTTTCACATATTTCATTAATTTTTTTCACATATATACCAATGAAGATAGAGAATACCACACCTAAAAGAATGGTAGCTTGAGCACTAATTTAATAGAGTCTTAATGATTGTCCACCGAGTGTTGGTTAAAAGATCAAATAATGTCAAAAGATTCAGTATTTAATACACATTTCACATATACAATTTTTTTTTTTTTTTACATATTTCATTAATTTTTTTCACATATATACCAGCATCAACCATGGCCTATTTAATAGTGCTTAGCATTTTCCATTTAACAAAGGCAAGCATATGCACAATCATTTGTTGTTGCAAAAACCAAGGCCTATTTAATAGTGCTTAGCATTTTCCATTTAACAAAGGCAAGCATATGCACAATCATTTGTTGTTGCAAAACACAACGCTGAAATTATCATTACATTCATAATCACTGAGTAGCATAACATAAACTAAACATTCATAGGTTTAATGAGGATGGCAATAAGAAATTAGTACAAATAAAAAAAATATATTAAAATGGGCCATTTGTTTATTTATTCAATCAAAAAGGTAAACTGATGGCAGTGTATAAATTTCAAGCAATGACAAGCAATTAGTTTCATGCAGCATTTGTGCAATAATGGGTCTAACACCACTGTTGCAACAATGGTGGCCAGAGCTCTACAAAACAACACTAATCAAACCCTTTGTCTTCCCTCTCCTCCTGTCCTCCCTCCTCCTGTTTCTGCTTAAATTCAAGAAAAGTGTTAGCAAATTCAAATTCCCTCCTTCACCACCTAGGCTACCGGTTATCGGACACCTTCACTTACTAGGGAACCTCCCTCACCGGTCTCTCCATGCTCTCTCCGAAAAATATGGCCCTATGTTACTGCTATACTTGGGTGGTGCTCCAACTCTGGTTGTCAACTCTGCAAAGATAGCAAAAGAAATCATGAAGACTCATGACATTGCTTTTGCAAACAGAGTCCAAACAAGGGCTGCTAATGCATTAATGTATGGATGCACTAGTCTAGGGTTTGCTCCGTACGGTGAGTATTGGAGACAAATGAAGAGAATCTGTGTTTTGGAGCTTCTGAGCATCAAAAGGGTACAATCATTCCATTTTGTTAGAGAAGAAGAAGTTGCGACGATGATTGAGAAGATACGCAGCAACACGGGCCTTGATGGAGGAGCTAATTCTGTCAACCTTGGAGATATGTTGGTTGATACCATGACTAGCATAATATCCAGATGTATTCTTGGGAAGAAGTATGAAGGAGAGGATAATAAGAAGAGATTCGGACAGTTGGCGAGAAACGGAATGGAGCTCTTGATTGCGTTTTCCTTCCAAGATTTCTTCCCATCTTTTGGATGGATTGATGCACTAACTGGTTTGGTTAAAAGACTCAAAGACACTTCACAAGGATTAGATGCTTTCCTTGATGATGTGATTGAAATATATCGAACTTCAAAAGGAAATGATGATCAGCCTGGTAATAAGTGTCTGATTGAAATTCTGCTCCATCTTCAGGAGGAGGGCAAGCTAGAGATTGATATCTCCCAAGACAATCTTAAAGGAATTTTACTGGTCTCTCTCTCTCTCTCTCTCTCTCTCTCTGTGTGTCCCTCTATGTGTGTGTGTATACCAGTCGTGAATTGGGTGACACGGTGGTGAAATTTTTTTAATCATCTATTAGTAGCAAAAAGAGTTTCATAGTCGCTGAACTAGCGGTAGCAACTGTTAATCTTCCTAAATCGGTGCTACGATTAATCTTCCTAAGTCAGTTATGAAATAATACATATAACAAATTGGGTTATAAGTACGATATTTTCATTCCCACCAATATACTTATTTCTATCAGTATTAGAAAGGCCAAAAAATATCGTTACAAGAATCATTTTAAATACTGATATATACCATATCAATCAGTACGTATATGGTTTTAGCCATTTTGATAGTGATACATCCCAATATATTGCTGGGAACGAAAAAAATCATGTTTATTGCTCAATTCTCGATATATATATCAGTTCATAGCCAATTCACATGCTAATACAATTGGTTCACAACCAATATGGCTAGTTTGGCCATTATAAATCTCCTTTTTGCAGTTGCTATTTTGAAAAATTCATGACCCCTAATACCAATTCGTATTCCAATACTCTCGACACCACTACACCGTGGCTAATACTAATTTGTATCCTGATACTGCTATTTAAAACTTTGGCTACAACACATATATATAAAGCAATATTTAAAACAATCCCTCACCTGCCCACACACACCCAGAATTCTCTTAATGTAGTATTAACTAATAGTGAATAGCTTAAACAATATTAAAGTTTGTAAGAACTCTCAAATTAGGTCTATCGTGTGACCTGTAAGTGAAGTTACAGCTAGAAGTGATTCCATCTCTATCTTTATAACTCTATGCAACTTTGTGTGTCTTTGCCAATTGCAGGACATGTTTATTGGAGGAACTGATACTACTTCGACAGCCATAGAATGGGCAATGACAGAACTAATAAAAAATCCCACTAAGTTGAAGAAAGCTCAAGAAGAGGTAAGAAGAGTGGTAGGAGAAAAATCAAAAGTCAATGAAGATGATATTGATCAAATGGTCTACTTAAACTGGGTTGTCAAAGAGGCTCTAAGGTTACATGCTCCAATTCCCTTCCTGTTCCGTCAAGAATCGATTGGCAATGAGAGTACTAAATTGGGAGGCTATGATATTCCTCCTAGAACTAGAGTGTTCATCAATGCATGGGCAATTCATAGGGATCCCAAATTATGGGACAATCCAGAAGATTTCGTTCCAGAGAGATTTGCTAACAACCTTATTGATTTTAAGGGCCAAGACTTCAATTTCATCCCATTTGGTGGCGGCCGAAGAGGCTGCCCTGGTTTCTCATTTGGAGTCCTAATAGTTGAATATGTGCTTGCAAACCTCTTGTATTGGTTTGACTGGAAGTACCCAAGTGGTCCAGGTAGGGACGAGGACTTTGACATGAGTGAGGTTACTTCCTTGGTTGTTCACAAGAAAATTCCTCTTCAACTTGTTCCAGTTTTGCACTCTCCTTCATTCATCACCTAAGTGATCATCCATATATATATGGTCACATAAAATCAATGTTTGTGATAGCTCCTAATTTGTTTCCTCCTAGTATGTTAATTTGTTTTCTGCTCAACTATATAAAGCTTGAAATAAAGGCTATTGTTTTATTATTCAAGTCTCTTGAACCGCATAGCTTGATGTGGTGTCCATTGACACCACTAAATTCAGAAATACCATTGAAAAAAATATATTGTTACTCATATTTTTAGGTAAAATTGACACAAATGATTTACAAAAATTGAACCCATAGTTGAAGTCAGGTTTACTTTTAGATTGTGTGCAAATTTCACACTCCTTTTCCTTTTCCTATTTCAAATTCCTCCGCAAACCCATAAATCAAACACAGCCTACAATTTACACATCTTTTCCCTACCTTTTCTAAATCCTTCCACACGAACCAAACACAACCCAAGTCTCTACCTAAATTCAAGTAAAATGGTAAATAACATAATTATACATGCAGAGACCAAATCCACACACTAGAAGGTTAGCGAGATGCCAACCAAGATGAATTTAGGCTCATATGATCAAAGCAGTGAAAATATTAATAATTTAGGCTCATATGATCAAAGCAGTGAAAATATGATCAAAGCAGTGAAAATATTAATAATTGAGTCACATAATGGTTCAAGAAATAATCAAACAATAACCTCAGAAACAAGGAGTTGCAACAAGGATTAAGGGAAACTTTCTATGAATAGTTATCCCTGAAGATTCAGCTAAATCCATATCGTCCCCTGTTACCCGTCCAGGCAACGCCCAATCAAACTTGTGCACAAGACTGGCTAACACAAGCTCAAGATTGGCAATAGCAAATACAATTCCAGGACACCCTCTTCTTCCAGCCCCAAATGGAATAAATTGAAAATTTTGTCCGTTGAAGTCTATCAAACTATTCAAGAACCTTTCTGGTCGAAACTCCTCTGGCTCTTCTCATGATAAAGGGTCTCTTCCAATAGCCCATGCGTTGATGAATACTCTTGTTTTGGTCGGGATGCCGTAGCCTTGTAATTTGACATGTTTGGTTGATTCTCGAGGAATTAGTAATGGCACCGGAGGGTGTAGCCGAAGAGTCTCTTTGATTATTGCTTTTAAATAGTGCATTTGTTCAAGATCATCCTCACTTAAGTTTGCTTTTTTAGGGGCAATTCCTCTAACCTCCTCTTGGAGTTTCTTCATTGTTGTAGGGTGCCTTAGCAATTCAGTCATAGCCCATTCTAATACTGTGTAGGTGGTATCCGCTCCAGCAGCAAACATATCCTACAAAGAATGATAAATGGATTAGGTTTATTACTATAGTTTTTATGATCCTTTGTTAGAATACAAAAACTAGATAAGGCATTTTGCATTGATGACAAAATGAACATTACAGTCAAGATTCATCGGCTAATGACAATTTTTATGTTACAAATTATTGTAACATAACATTTAGTACAAAAATGCGTAACAAATATTCGAAAAATGTAGCATAAGATGCATATAGTACTGAAGGGATTTCCTTTTAACTATGTAAATATTAAAATCTAGTGTAAGAAAAGTTTTAGATTAATGGTATACTTGACAAATATTAATAATTAAAAAAAAAAATTACACCGTTTGTCATTCTACTTTTGTCCATTGTGTAATTTTGATTCTTGTAATTTCAATTGGTTCTCTTTGTCTCAAATTGATTCGATTATGAGTAGCATGTGTCATGCTTTTAATGAAAAAAATTATAAACTTGATTAATTTAGTTACTTAATGTTAATTAACTTAGTAATTACTTTCTATCTAAAACTTTAAAAAGGTTATCAATTGAATCAAATTAACATAAAATCAAAAATTAAGGATAAAAAATTGAGCCAAATGAAACTATATGGATCAAAATGACACAAGTGGCAAAATGTAAGGACTACCAGTGTAATTTTTCCTAATTAAAATTGTAAAATTTTTCTTGAATTTGTAATTAAAAAAAAAAACTGAATTGTAACACTGCTGGAAAGTTTACATTTAGTGGCGTTTAAAAAACACCTCTATAAGTATAAAAAAACGCCGCTAATTCTATTTGTGACGTTTAGTACTAAACGTCGAAGATGCGGCCGTCGCTATAGCATTACGACGTTTTAAAAATGTCGTTAGATTTGTATAGATGGCATTTTTAAAAACGCCGTTAAATGTGATAAATAACACTAAAATGACGTCATCCAATATTTGGTGACGTTTTAAAAACGCCGTGATAGATTTTTTTTCTATTTTAAAAATATGACCGTTGGCACCGTAGTGGTGTTTTTGAAAAACGCCGTTATAGCTCTTTTTTTTTTTTTTTGAAATTGTGCTAATTCTGTTATATTTAACTAAAAAATATACTTGTAATAAAGTTGAAAAATAACAATATTATGAATAAAATTTTACAGCTATTTCAATATATTGGTACTTTTTTTTTACATATTAACTGTCAAACTAACTAACACAATTCTCCTTATTTGGACTTGAAACCAACAGTATAACAGATGAAACACCAAACACGATATAGACTGAGTTATTTTCAATTAGCTAAGCATGTAGCCATTAATAGAGAAAAAAAATTATTAATTTAATTTATCCTACTTAATTAGGAAACAAGAATTCGTTTAGTTTGATTTGATTTGGTATGGTTATTTCCAGTCGAAACACTTCTCTTTTTGCATCCCCACCAAGCCTGATTATACAAGAAGATATCTCAACCATCTCAAAATTTCATGGCCCTCTTATTTAGCCTAGTAAAAAAATAAAACAAAAGAGAGGCAAATGAACAATCATAAGATGCAAACATAAAGTTAATATATGTGAACTACAACAAGGTTGGTGATAATATACAACATATAAATCTGAAAAAGCTAATATAGTTGCAAGAAGTTGATGTTGTATCTAGGATTGACTGGAAGCCGTGACCATGGTAATGTTTTCTTTTCTTTGGTCTCTGAAGATGGTAAAGAGCCCCAAGCAAAAATCGAATTTCGAAATCGCAATCCCGAGATGAATCACCGAACTGAAGAAGAATCGAAGAAGAATCACTGAGTAAAAGACAGAAGAAGAATCGAGAGAGAGAACTCATCTTTTTTTTTTCAATCAAACAGATTCAATCCTCTGAGAGAAAGAGAGAGCAAGAGAGACAGAAGAGAGACATAGGGTTTTCAAAATAAAGGTTTGAAGAGACAGAAAGGGTGTGAAGAGAGACAGGATTTGGAGGCGTTTTTCAAAGGTCTTCTATCCACAAGACGGTACCGTTTTGATTATTAACAAATGCGACGTTTAAAAAATGCCACTAATTATTAGAAAAAGTGACATTTAATAAAACGTCGTTAATTAAACGCCACTAAATCTCTAATTTCCTGTAGTGTAATTTCCCCTTTTAACTATTAGATAGATGAAATTTTGGCCAAAAAGTTTTCAACCCATAGAAAAAAGTCAAATATTTCCTTTCATTCACTTTACATTTTACACTTTTTTTTCATAATAATAATAATAAAAAAAATCAAAAAAAATAACAAATCCAAAACATATTAAATTTTTAACCAAAAAAACCCGCTGAAAAAAGTTGCTTCCCAAATATCACAAAAAGATAAATTAACAAAAAGTTAGAAATCATACCAAAATAATAGCTTTGAGGTTATCTCTACCCAAGGAAGCACCAACATCCATGCTACTATCTTTCTGAATTTCAAGCAAAACATCCACTAAGTCCATTTGCTCATCATCTTCCCCTTTACCACCACCATTTTTTCTTCCACTCCTCCATTGCCCCATATGATCATCAATAACCTCATCAAGAAAGCAATCAAACTCCCTAAAATTCCTCTCCACTCTCCCATTCAAACCACTCACATAGTTCACCCAACCAAGCCATTGCATAAAATCACCCACATTAAAAACACCGAACAATGCACCAAGCTCTAACAACAACTCCTTAAACTTCTTCCCTCTCTCACCGTCACTGTACTTCCTCCCAAACGCAACCGTACAAATCACATCATTCGTAAACGAAGCCAACATTTCGCTTAAGTCCATCGGAGAAGAAGACCGGTTTTCAATCTTTTCAAGCAAGGCGATAGTCTCTTCTTCTCTCACTCGTCGAAACGAGTGAACCCTTTTGGTGTTTAGAAGTTGTAAGGCACATATGCTTCTCATTTGTCGCCAGTAGTCGCCGTAGGAGGCTAAAGATAAGTTTTTAAATCATAGAGGAGGCGTCGCGAGATGGTTGCGTTGGGCCTGTTTGAGAAGAAGAGATCATGGGTTTTCATGACAGCTCGAGCGAAGTCAGCTGAGGAGACTATGAGAGTAGGGATGTTCCCAAGGTGGAGGAGGATGAGGAGGCCATGACGCCGAGCTAGGGTTTGGAGAGAGCGGTGTGTAAACGTCCCCGAACATCCCGGGAGGATGAGTCCCGTTCTGTTCATTTGGGCTCACCACAGTTCAAGACTCAAAGTCACGGTCCTGTATCTAATCTCGCAAAGTGCAATGCAAGACCGATGAATCATCAAAGAGTCCAAATCCGACAAATCGTTTTTGAAAACAGATTTTTTTTTTTAAAGAAGTGCCAAACATGGACTGCTTTGCCAGATACAGAGTCGCCACCTAAATATTTTATTTTGGAAAATTTAGGAAACCCTGACTCGTTGCCTAAGGCCACGTGTCCGTCATCACCAAAGTTGCCTCGGCTCGGGAACTTGGGTACGATTGGGGAAGATCACTTCATGAGCACCCCCGCTCGCCCGATCAAAGATCGGCTTCTACTAACCATGATATGAAGTTTTGAAAACATTATGTATTCTTGTTCCGGTTATTAGCCTAGATTTACTATGTGATGCGCACAGCATACAAATATAGACCGGATCGCCTGAATTGGAACAACACATCTCAAGTTTGTTTTGAAAATGGTTTGTTACTCGCAAGTAGGCTTAAAATGCAGGTTTTGCCACCCTCGGGTGGGCTTAGAAAAACAAGATGATTTGCCACTCTCAAGTGGGCTTAAAAACTCACAGCCGATGAATTGTTCCAATCCAAATAACCCAACCTTCACCCACAAGCATTCAGGCAGGTATATCACATAAGCAAATAGTCTCATGGTAAGCATGCTATCATGGCAGTCACTCACACGCATGCAAGGATGCTAAAGCATAAAACTTATCGAGTATTCCAAGCCAAAACAGAAGCTGATTAGAAATCATGTGTGATCCTAAATATACAGAAATGCTTAATACAACACATGCAAAATGCAACTATAGTAG